ACACAGGAAAAAAGAATGGGAGAAAAACATCGCCTCATCACTCGGCGATCACCTGATTATGTGTGGGCCCTAGAACGAATAGCTGCAATCTGTATTGTCTCGATTCTCGATACTCGTCCAAAGTGACATCGATCGAGAGGCGGGAAAGCGAATCAAGACAGCAACAGGGCTTCTACTATGCTCTGACCGTCGAGATTATGGGAGTGAGGGGGACCCTTCTACTATCGATGGGGGCCACTGAGTATTTCCAAGCGAAGAACTCAGTAACCCGTTTAATGGTGAACCGTGCCTTTAACTTAGGCGTGCAGTGCACATTATGTAATATCGCAAACATCGCAGCATCTTTCAGAGTAGAACGTTTAGCATTCAGCGCGGGCGCCCAGTAAACAACGCCGTTCCCCTGTCGGAACTTAGCTTTTTTGTGTGTGGGTTGGATTCGACTGCTGTGGTAGAATATAATGAAAGTATCTCGGTATGACAGAGCTCTACGCTGTGCGCGGTCTGTTGACACGAGAGCGTTGAGCGTTGAGTGCGTCGAGCGCGAACGTCGGTCTGCAAAAGAATTCTCGTAATGTCCATTATTCATCAAAAGCCTTTAAGAATTCACTTTGCTCCTAAAGAAGTTATTTGTAGAAGCGTTGAATGAAAGGTACTGGCCTCATGACGGTCTACGTTTGGTAAGGTGCTATTTTACATACCTTTAATGTCTAGCCTCTTTTGTTTCAGGAAATAGGGCTACATCACTACTGTCAATTGTTCTTCAAATCGTTAGTTCCTACTTCTGCCTCGAGGTTTGTAGGTGGAAATATTTATTCCGGCCGACGTTTCGACGGACTTGTCGTTTTCAAAGGCCTGAAAGTGGTTCAAAGCGTGTTGATTGTACACTACCCCACCAAGCGCCTCTTCCGCTCTAGCGTTTCTGACCTACCATCAGGAATGCACAAAAAATGTCCAAAATCCGAAAGGTAAGCACACCTCACTTCCACCGCAAAGTGTAGCCACGCTACACGGTTAGTACATTAGTAGCGAATGATCTTAGTCCGCTGTCCTTATGCAATAACATTATTGCGGATCAGCACGGTTCGCTGATTATGGAACTAACTCGCATAAATGGCAAGAGATCATTTGTGATAGTCACACACTCCTTTCGGCTGTCAATATTTTTGATCACATACTATGGGCCGGGATATTTTACACGTACATGCATCTTAAAACTACGGCAGATATCTGGTAGCATGCTACTTGTTAAAGTAGGATTTGAGGATGATCCGTAGGTCTTACTGTTCCAGAGAGGGAAAGCATCGTCTTCTCTTGGTCGTCGCCACGATGAGGGTCGTGCTACAGGAGAGGCCGTTTAAGCCGTTTATTTAAAATGGGAGTTCACGTTCTCTTCATTATTAGTGAGCATTGCTATATTTAAAGGCACAGTTTACATTAATTTGTATGGTATGAAGTTCTGAACGAATAATGGAAATGATAGTCTAGAAGAACGCAGAGGTAGCGAAAAAAAAAACAGAAAATCGGCCTACTTGGAGAAATATAAATGCCAAAAAAGAGAGATTAAATCAAGGATTGGACGAGAATGGGATGACAAAAGCTGCATGGAAGGGGTATTTGGGCAAACTGTCCAAATGTGTAGACCTGAGTGCAACATGTGTCCAAACTCTATAGCAACGCGGGGAAAACTCGTCTACTTTGGGTGTGTGCGTCGATTAGGCCTATTCTTGGGCCCCTATTATTCCCTATCTAGACAGTTTTCTGACCCGAGTTTTGACTTGTGCTATTCTTTGAAGTCAAGATTCAGATTTATCCTAGAGAGAATTCATCCTGGACCTATGCATGAGTTAAACCTTTTCTAGCAATTTTGTATTGGGAACTGGTACAGCTACAGAACGAATGCATTTGAGTGGGTGCTATCCTTACTTGGAGGACCACATCCTTTAAAACATCTCTCAGCTCATCAGGCAAATGCTTTCGTTCCAATCTTCCGAAGCAGAATTTTTTCATCTCCTGCTTGTTCATGAGCCTGGAGGCTGCCCAAATGTGATAACTGGACCTTTGGAGTGTTTATTTGCCCAAGTTTTTTTTGTGGATATTTTTTAGTGATCCTGTCATACATACCTTATACATTCCTTTTACCCGGAAGAACTTATAATGGCCGATGACGCTGCCCGCGACAGCTCGAAGACCATATCAGACCTCGTCACATCCAAATTGCCGTGCTCAAAGATGAGAGGCTGGATGAGCTAATCTACAAAGTGCCTATCGCGGCTACAGCAGTATTTGACCGAAGATTTAGCCTATTCTCCTGCTCAAAAAGGTCGCTGAGAATAAGCAACCACACGTGTGGTTGCTTATTCTCAACGACCTTTATCCGACGGCCTTCTTTATGCCTACGTTTGTTGGTAAATCGAGTACCACATATGTTAGCAGTCAGGATGTATTTCAGGCCCCTGCGTATACTATATCTGGCACTATTATGACGGAAAGAGGCCTAGTCAAAGAACTATAAAGGCTCAAAGATTGGCCTGCGTGAATCCTCGGACGAGTTTCGCCTGCATTGTAGAGGCATCACAAGGGAACCCACGTAGGAATTTAAAACGACTTGTCATGATCCATAGTGACAGTGAAAGACAGTTCTGTGCAGTTCTGGCTTGATGTATGTAGTCAGCACTTTGTGCAATTGCAGTAACTGAAATCTCGTCCGAATCCCCTTCCATGTTACTTCCGTCATGGCAATGTCGTCCAACTACTATTTTCCCTACTTTCGAGGAGCCATATTTTTTTCAAAATCGGCGGATTCTTTCGCTTTCTTCACTACTGATGAACTATTACCAACTATCACTATCACTTGTGTGCTATTCCGTAGAGCTGGCTACCGTAAGCCAAAAATTGCCTTCCATTGTCGCCATAGGTCCATTTAGATGTTTGAATATTCAACATGTGCGCTCCATTGCAATTTGTGCCCTTTGGACCCCTGTGTTTGACATGCAGTGTAACCCAAGCTCTGAGACGCTATTAGCCCCTATCTGACCGTTTTTTGAACTAAAAGCGCCTCCACTATCGAAAACCGTGGTACGTCCCGAATTCGAGTCTACTGGAAGCAATCCAACACTACCGCACTGACGTTGTCCAGAAGTCAAATCCCACCGTTTCGATACGCCCTTCAGTTGATTCAACCTTTCCACTCCTCAAGGGCTCATAACTTGCCCACAAACTCGTTTAGGAAAACAAGAGGATCTACTTAAACCTCGACTGTTACCAAAAACTCATTACATATACAAAAGCATTTTCAATCAATACCGCAATTATAAAAGGAGCTTCTACGCACTGGCGCATTCCTTCGCGCTGGTGGTCAAAGGCAACGTGTAATGAAAAANAAAAATGTAATCTTTCTGCGATTTAACCAACCAACTTCAATAATATTGTGTTCCCTCAGTGTTCTTCACAGATTGAGCCCCTCCGTCGAACAGGTGTGGGCTTCTGAACGTTAAGAAAGGTTACAAGTAATCAGTGGAGCGTAAAATATGACTCACCTATGAATCCAGAAAACTCAAGGTCGTATTCACAAGTAATGGTGATTTTTGGTTGAGCCACGATAATTTAATTTTAAACGAGAATTCGTTAAACCAGTATGTGACTCATGTCGGAAACTAAACCGGTTTTTGAAGCCATTTAAATGGATCCTGATTGGTTCCTCCGTTTGAAACCTTAGCAGGTACAATGGACTGCCAGGTCTCATATGTGTGTTTTCCCTGCCTTTGAGTCCCTTTCTTACGATTCGGCCCACCCGAATGATGGAGTCGCGCGGTGGATCACGCGGCGTCATCGGCCGCGTGATTGGTCGCGCGACCCCATTAGCACACTATGAATTCGCGCATCCTCCTTTAATCTGGATCTCCTCATTTTGCACTTCCTGACTACTGAATCCATACCGGTTGGTTCCCATGTTCTGCTGAACCATATAAAGCAGTAAAGTGTCATCTTCCAGTATTACCTGTGGTCCCGGTGTCCACTAATCTCCTGAGTGGGAGTAGGCGACATCTTTATTTGTTCCAGTAACGTGCAAAGTTAGTACAGTGGGCCCTAAGAAACCGTCCAGGCTTTTCACCTAGATGCTCAACTGATTTTCCCAATACTCGCCTAAATTCACGAGGGATCCAGTCGTCCCGCTCCGGGCATGAGGTCCTCTTCCAATCGCCATCATGTAAATTTGTATCTCACCCTGAGAAATACAGAAACCGGTCTTCTTGCGAGAAAATATGCCACACCTCATTCTTCTGGGTGGTTAGGTTCTACCATTCACTCATTTTGCTTGCATTCCACAGCCCGTCGGTCTGACTGAATGCTTGAAACTTGTTAGGCTTATCAAATCTCTTTTTCCGTTGAAGAAGTTGGAAGTCATGTCCGTCATCCATCATCTATTAGGCTCTCATGAGTATTTCTTCTCATTCGGAGAATCGTAGAGATTTTTGTTAACAAAAGTATTTGTGAAACCCTTTCTTTATGAAAATTATGTTTAGGAATTATAACTCAAAGAAAAAAGCCAAAAAAGAAAAGAAGGTTACCAGTGTCACCGAAATTTTTGATAAATCAAAATTCTTCCTCCAAAATTGTAAAAATGAAGCCCGGACCTAATATACGGTTCCTATTGGTCACATTCATACCTTCGCGGCTTCATACCTACGCCCATACGAGAGTCTCTACCTTCAAGGGCAGCCCTTACTTTCTGATTCTCTCCTTTTTATTTTTTCCTTTCCTTCTGTTTTTAGAAAGCTTGGGAAATGGAAGAGCTAGAGTGTCGACTTTTCCGATGCAGTAAAGTGTAACGAATTGTCCTTGGAATGATAGCTTTAGGAAATTGACCGATGTCACACCCTTACACATTGGTCACGGGTATAATCGAAGGGTCGCTTGGGAAAAAAACGGGTCCATTGTCTTCTCGGTTCGCGATAGTACGATTGTTGCTTTCAGTTCTGCTGCTGCTTCCGTTTCCACCAATGCATCTCGTCGTAGTCATTTGTCTGACTGCCATTGCTGGGAATGGAGCACTTGGATTAGGTGTTGGTGGCAAACGACGTATTGAAGAGGTGAGATTTTCTTTATATTACAATATTGAGAGGTGAGTGGAGGTGGTGTAGTGGCCACTAGAGCACTATCATACTTGCAGTTCGGGATCGAATCCCGGATTGACACCTCTTAAGCCAGCGAGCTTTTCAACCCTCCGTGACAGATCAAATGGTACCACGCTTGTCTGGGAAGACGAAAATATTCTCTTCTCCCTCGACTGGCCACCGCAAGTCATTTTAGAGGCTATATGCATACCCAGTCGAACGCCCATACGATTCAGAATGGAAATCGAGTACGGGGAACATCCCAAAACGGGATGTTGATCGGAGTTATAACACTTCCTTATATTTATAAGGATAAGCCTTTATAACCTATTATCGCTGATAATTACTATTCAGGTGCATCAAACTAAACCGGATCCAGAGCTGCCAGAAATTCATGTCAATCCAAACCTTGGTGAGGATGTGACTATTCAACACAATCATAAGGACGTCGGTGAACCACCAAAAGTCCCAATCCATCCGGATTTCGGGTCGGAAATCGAACTTTCCGATGACATCATCACTGACAGCGTTGTGGAGAAAAACGGCCCATCACTTACTCAGGTGAATCACCAAGGTCGTTTTCAACGATAGGCTGTATAAACAAAAAATCAAGTGACTTTTCTAGAAGTCTCGAACAAGAAATACGTGGAATGACGTTCACTTTACACCACTACTGATATGTTGTACTCCCCTTTGAACTTCTGTGGATTTTAGAATATCAAACCGTAAATCATAAGAAAATCATAAACCATTTAATAAAAAGTTTAATAATTGTGATGTAATTTGAAATTATAATAAAATTTTGAATTCAACAAATTTTTTGTATTGACAAAATAGGTGCAAAACTATCCCAACGTAAAGTTGAAATCATCCCAGGCTCGTCCACTTTCTCCGTTCCTTCCTCCACATGACGAAAGGCCAATATCGCCAACAGCAGCATCAAAAGGAAATGTGCGTCCAGGGTCAGTTTCATTCTACCAACGAAAAATTTTGTCCTAGTTCAATTTTATGGACTCCAATCCGGTGAACATCATATGAACCAGTGGATAGCGCATACAAGACAGCTTGTGTATGGGTGTGGGTAGGGTCTCAGGTAGCCTTCCATGGAGGATATGTACGTCGCGGTTGAGGTTGGAGATTGGCTGTTCTCTCATAGCCTACAATAGAATTCCTATCCCTTGGTCCTAGCTCTGAAACGTCCCTGAACCGTTCTGACGGCGTATGTCTTTACTTGCCTTATAATCTACTTTGACGAGAATTTGTTGGCTTCCCTATATTTGAAAGAGAATGAGCTCTGACTAAGGATTTTTGCTCAATTAATATATCATCAACTCAATTAACAAACCGCCTATAGAGGTGATGGAAATGAAAAGCTTAGGAATCGTTTCAGAAGAGAAAATAGCTTGCTTCCCAGCATTCTACCCTGAATTCCTTATGAAGCGTTTATACTTTCAGGGAACTTTAATTCATCCTCTAAAGCCGACCCCTTCTGTTTCCGACGTATTCCTGGAAACTATCACCCCAGTCGTCAATTTCTATCTAGATCGTGATTTAGACGAGCCGTTACCTAACAGTAGGTTTAAGCTCAGCTCTCATCCCCATCTGCCTACGTATACTTCACTGAAGCCCTTTAATTCGTGTTACTGTTCTGTTGGGCGGAGGTGGTGTGGTGACAAGTGGCACACTATCTCACACCTATGGTTACGGGTTCACATCCCGGATCGATATCCGCTTGGGCCAACCAAGCCTTTTATCTCTCCGGGGTCGGTTGATTGGTACCAGGCCCGCCTGCGAGGATAAACGCACTAATTTGTACATCGGCCGGGTACAGCAATTCATTGTATAGGCCACATACCCATTCAATACCTGAATACGATTCTGAATCTGGGTCGAATACGTGGGCGCATCCCTCAGACGGGTTAACTGTCGCTCCGAGGCTTTTTCCTTTATCCTTCTGTAGACTTGTTCCTGTAAGTTGGAAATGTTGTGCCCATTACCAGATATTTTCCATCGAAAGACACTGACTGTAGATGTAAGCATAGCACTGGATGCAAGACAATGGGAAGCACTGAGTGGCAGGAGAGAAACTCCTGGATAAAGGGTAGCTTACCGCACATGATCATCTATATTCAGTTTCAGACCTCCAGCTCCGCCACCAAAAAAGAGTGGAAATGCCTGCCCATCAAGAGTTTCGGCATTCTGTACAGGTACATATTCAAGTGCAACAGCAATAACAGCTGCTATGAGTTTCTTATCCCAAATTCGACACAATTCTAGTGCGGGATCAATCTTACCTTTTCTCCGATGGATATGTCTATATTATTCGTAACGACAGAATCCAAAGCGTTAGACCTATAGATCATATATTCCCTGGAGGACCACACTTTGTCAATGCAGCTGTTTATGATAAGGAGAAGCGCCTGGTCGTTCTTATCGAGAAGCGGCAAGTAAGGTTTACTTCAAAGGGTTCGTCATTGAAAACATTTTTCCATGTGAAGAGGTTCTCACTTGAAGGTTTACGCCTACCGTCCTGTGAGCAATGGCAAGTTCGAGCTAGATCCGACCTATCCAAAGGTGAGTTCTCAGTGGATAAAGACTTCTTTCGTTTGAGAAACGGAGGGATATCTCTACAGGAATTGACATCGAGCGTCGCATTCACGCCGACTGGAGCAATGAGGTGGCATGACAGGCGTCAAGTTCTGTTATCAGTAAGTAGTTCAATCCCTCTGATCAATTGTCAAAGAAATTGTGACCAAACAGAAGTCCCAAGTTACCCCTTGAGGCGAAAGTAAAGCGCCCGTGGGTGACTATATGTGGTAGTGAAAATTTTTGCTGAGTGCAAAGCCCTAAACGTTCGTTTACACTACGAGAATCGAATATTCCTGCACTTATCCAAGCCCTTCGGAGCTTTTTTCTACTGTTCGATAGTCATCCTAAATAGCAAACCAGCGAAAGCCTTGAATTACCTCCCTACCTAAGGTTCTCTGGACCGGAAACGTGAGGTTTCATACTCAATCAATCAGATAAAACCTGAAAGAAAAACTTGAAAGCACTTTGGAACTGGTTGTGTTCTCCATTATCTGTGACTGCTGGACGGTGGGTATGAGTCCTTCCCCTCGCCCGCCGCACCCGGTCACGCGCAATCGCGATTGCGACGGGCATGATATGAATTTCTGGTTAAAGGTTACGGTGCTTCGAATCCACTACCGCTTACCATTGGAATTCTGGCAAAAAATCCGCCACACCCGGTAGTGACAGGGCCGCGGTTAAACGCGGGAGGGGTAATTTTGCTTTTTTCTCTGCCCGTCTTGAATGAATCATGAATCATGAAAGCCGTAGATCATTGAGAAGTGGGGAATTCAGTGAATTCTCATTCCATCAACCAAGGTCATATGACAGAGACTGCTTTATGTCTGATGACTCATATTGTGAAGTAATGACGTTCAAAGCAGCCATCTTATACAGCCGGACGTTTCCCGAATGCGTGGCAACTAGCGCGAGCGCCTTATGGATCTTTGATAGCTGTCTCGCTGGGACCATACTGCTGGGACCATATTCATCAGCGCTGAGCCCCGTGTGCTCGCCAACCAAAAGGGCGCCAAATCTTCTCCATAAAATCATTCTCTTTTTTGAAGTTCTTTGACGTACGCGATTGCCGGCATGTCCCTTATACGGTCTAATTTATTTGAGAGGAGAATTGTTGTGCACATTTTAGGACGATGGACGGTTTGCTATGTATGACGAGTACTGGAACAAGTCTTTGATAACAGCTCACACAGAGGATTATTTCCTGGTATGTGATTTCTTTTTATGGGTTAATTCAATCCAGATGGGTGAAAATGCAGTTGATGGAAGGAGCTGGAAAGAGAGGGAGTCAACTCTATTCTTTGGCATCGGGTTCTAGATGGGGTAGCCATCTTTACGGGGCTGTAGTAGTGCTTACTGAGCAGAAATAGTATGTTGTGGTTTTCGAAAGAAAACTGGTCAACAGACTGTTCAATTCCTCACCCATCTCAGCTTTTTGAACGAGGTAATCATCTCACCTACCCACTGCTGCCTCTCTCCTGAGGGTTTTTTAAAACCACCTATCCCCTGGGTGGAAGACCTTTCGAAGCATAGCTCAATGATGTTTTTTGTTGTCAGATTACTTATGAAGGTCTTTGGCGAGGATTTCCAGCTAGAGCCTCATTTACAGTCGGGGAGTGGGGAGTGAAGAGGAAGGGGGGGAGGGGGAAGGGAGGGTGGGTAGGCTGGGTGTTGAGATGCCGCCACGATCCTGAATGGGACTTCATCGTGAGTTGATAATAATGTACCAACCTAGTACTCTGTAATAAGATTGAATAACCTTTTCTATTTAGGGTCTCCCACATAATGTTCGAGGAATTTCTAATTGGGAGAATGATGAGGGTAAAATCTACACACACAACTTGGTATTCGTCTACAAAGTGCTAGACAATGCTGTAGCAGGAGATGGTATTCCTTTGTCGACATTCCTACACTGTCAGTAGTAGCTTGTATATTGTATTCAGAGAGTTTATTTGTTTGTAGAAATTGAATTGTTGTTGTTATGTAGGGTAGAGTTCTGGAATGGAATAGAGAAACTTTGGACAAAAATTCAGACATTCTCCTTGAAAAAATAACATAAATAAATTTTTTGAAAAAACACTGACCAATAGAAATTACAGTTCTGTCGTGGTGTTCAAATTTTAGTGAATCTTTCTTCTCGAATTTTCGTGGATCATGTCAAACTCCTCTTCCGAGGTGAGCCCAAGCAATCAGACTTCAATCAGTTTCTCGATAATCAGTGTGGATGATCATGAGGGGCTAGAAAGATTGATTAGGTTAAAAAAAACAACTTGGATGAGAAATTCGGGCCATCATCCAGCCCTAGTAGTGTAAATAGAGCTCTCTGATTTATATTTAACGGGATCTCTTCATATCCTATTAATAGGTGATCTCTAAATTAAAATTATCTCCATTGAAAAGCAAAAAAAGCATTACAAGGGCCCCATGGCCCATACGTACAGTACTCTGTAAGAGTTCGAGGCAACTCTTTCCCCAACCCGAGGGCAAAACTTTTGGCATTTCAATGTCTGCTCCACCCTAATGTAATTGAGACCATTTCCTAAGCTATCGTCTTAAGGAGCGCTGCAGTAGACGTGCACAAAGAGAGTGATGCAGGCAAGATGACGGCCTAGGTATCCTTCCATCGCCCAGACTCATCTTCCCCTTACACCTGGCCTCCTTCGCTCCCCGTAGTTTCAACCGCCCGAGAGTCCCAGAACAGCTAATCGTTGATTGTTTTTGTTCCTTGTAGCCCATGATATGCCTTATTTGCGTCTCATGACTGTTACAGCCCCTTGAGTCAACTACGAAAGATAATGCCTATCTAGTTCCTTCACAGAAACCTGTATTTCTTTTCTACTGGTGAGCTCGTGCTAAAAACTTCAATTTCAACGTCTATTCGAAGTAATTATGACCATTACTCCGGAAGTAAATGAAGTGAGCTAGCACGGGAACACCATGTTAGCACAGCCACCTAACTGAAAGTACTAGATTGCGGAATGAACCTGACAGTACATCAGGTAGTTTCCCAGAACTGTACAAACGAAATGCACCTCCCATTTCTTAACAAAAAAGGGCGAATGACAAGAACGTGGCCTAAGACCCGTTAGGCCATATGTGATCAATGCTGACTTTGTTTTCCTTTGATTGGTATGGTCCTCGTTCCCCGAAAAGCTTTCATTACAACATTTGCATTGTGCATTCTGACTAAAAATATTTATTGATTATATATTTCAGGCTTGATATATTCGACGTCCGCCATGAAACTTCGTTTCAGATTTCATATGTTTGACATATGGCACCTTCCGTCCACTGTGTGGCTAAGAAGGTGTAATGTGTAGCCGCCGACCCATTAGTTGATTTTACATGTCCACTTGCAATTCTTTTGAGCGATCTTTTCAAATATTATATCTTCCGGATTCTTGGAAATCGTTTGCTCGACACTATAAATTCAAAAAAATATTCGATTCAAAAGCGAAAAAAAAACATTGTCAAGTTTGAAAAAGTGCTCCTACAGTATGTTTTTTCCCAATTCATTTTATTCATTAATTCACCGAATTAAAAATTCCTAGTAACCATTGCAAAAAGTAGAATTAGTGAGGTCTAAAGGACTAACTTCAAAAATATTTCTTCATAAGTTCGAGTCAACGTTAGGTAACCTACGATTTTAGGAGGAAGTAGAGTGCGTGGCGTAAAGTAGAGTAAAAATTCAGTGCTCACTATTGTATTTCCTAAAGAGCTGGGAAAGTCACCTTCGTTCAATTGCATAAAGCCTGCCAGTGCGATTACTTTCTAAGGTCTCTCTAGAGCCATTACTGCTATTTGGACGGTATAGGACCTCGCTTCTAACTTGCTTCTAACGTAGAGTCCTGATACCCAGAGACATAACCAACTCCTCAGATTTTTCCTATGCCCTGTGACATTATTCGATTCTTCCTACATACGAAAAAACGATGGACGATAAAATTTTATTGGGTCAGTCGTGGGAGCTCGTTTCCGGTGACTAAGAATGTATATAGCGTAATGCGATCTATCCGAGTGGAGTATGCCTTTTTTGCCGACCGTACCAACTGCTTCCTCTTCGTTTCGCTTCTTCACTATTTCGCTTTGTCGCTGACGGATGATCTTCGCCAGCAATCCTAACATTTCGACGAACTGCGTACTGAATTTCCGTGAATACAACTGCAGAATTGTCTATTTTTGTTTAGAGTTCCTTCTTGCTACCATCTCTTGTTTGTTCATTTATTCACTCGCCAAATATGTCAACCTGCCCTCAACTCAGTCCTGCTTAATCGAGTTTCATATTGGTCAAGCCCCTTGAAACCTGGCCGCTCTATCGAAGAATTTTTTTCGAGTTTTGCTTTCATTTCTTTTATTGTTATCTGAAAGCACTTAGCCAAGCCAAGACACTACTGAATGGAAAGCCAAGACAGTACTGAATGGCAACTTCAATAAGGAGCTACCGCCTCTTAGAATGTTTAGACGGAGCCAGACAGGAATAGGAATAAAACTACTTCAGAAGAAACTAGAATGGGAGGTTTTCCATAGCGACACGATGGAAAGGCTGCATGATACACTGACAAGTCATAAACCATGAAAGATACCAAAAATGAGCAAAATCGACTTTCCCATGATTTTAGCTCAGCCTCATCCTCTTTTTTTCTTTCACGCGTCGCTGTTATCGCTTCTTACTTATGTTTTTACGAAACTGAATGATTTTTTTGCCTGTTCAAAACTCCATTTACCTCTAAAAATGTCATGATGTTGAGTGTCAAGGTGTATTTCAACCCTCATGATGCTGTTTAGGTAGCTTTGCTTGGGAAGCAGCAGAAGTACAATGAGGGAACTCTAAACTGGGACAGGTAAGCTGTTATGATCTTAGCCAATACTTAGGTCTTTCGTTTTTTACTCTTTCGGATGTTTTACTAGTTGAGTTCCTGAAGCACGGCGATGTTCAGCCTTTGCGCTGATTATCTCGGCATCTTCGAGAATATATGTACATACGCACTGATAGGCCTCTCAACTTCAATTGGAAATCCAAGAGCTTGTATTTTTCATGTAAAGCTACAAAGCTGGCCGGTCCTCCTAGAAACTTCAAAGATCTTTTAAACCATCTTCAGTGAATGTACAAAAGGAAATTTTGAAAAATTAGTTTCAAGTGTTAGAGTTGATGAAGAAATTGTGCCGATCTTGTTGGGCCATGTTTCACTGTCTGTGAATTCTGTGATAGCTGAGAGTTAATCAAGAAAGTTCAAATAATAGGCTCATGAAGATTTATTACGTCGTTGTTATGGTGCAGTACAAAGTGCTTCTTTACGCTGCAAACGCTGTTGGCGCATTTGCAGTCCTCATTTGCTGTGCACGGATTACCAACTTCGTAGATTAGAGAACCAAGGAAGTTCCCTCTGAAAATCGGCTGTCAACTGTAGAGCTGATAATCCTCCTTCAATGGGGGTTTATACTTACGCTGGTGCGTATTTACATCCCACAAGAGTCTTGTCTTTACACCATCTCACAGCACAACCGATATTCTTGCTCGACTGCAGGACTACATGGAATGACGCGACTGTTCTTTTAATTGGTTAAACCAGTTGAAGATCTCTTTAACATTTGAGTGTAGTGTCCGGCGCCGTTACTGGAAACTGCCACAATTGACATTGTAAGTTTGTTTTCTCCAGTCACGCCATGGTGTTCCAATTCGCTGAGCTTCGGGTATACGCTATGAAATAGAACTCACTTTTTTAAAAAGCTGGTAAAGTTTGGTTTTCCCACCCCTGCTGGGGTGTGCTTCTTGTTGATATTGTGCCCTCCTAACATCCACAAGTTCTGTCCCCAGTAGTGCCTATCAGCATAAGGATTGTGGGCAAATTTGCATTCTTTGGCGTATCCATCATGTTTCTTTCGATTTCACGGACGTACAGTACTGGTCGAAAAGAATCACCTTGAACCTTTTTTGTCATAACTAATCTCGAACTCGATATTTTTGACTGATTCTTTGGCAGCACATTCTTCAAATACCTGCAACTCAGTTCCCGCCAACTACACGGTTTTTTTTCAAAACATTGCAAAATCGGCCTGATTTTATTTGGGTTTTTCTGAGATTTTTTTGAGTATAAAACTGCTCGAGAGTCCTTTGTTTCAACAGTAAATCTCTTCTACTAAAAGGACAAAACTCTAGCACTCGTTCTCTGACCGTGGAGCAGCTCTCCGAATTGCCACGGGCAGTAAGCAGGAATTGACCCATGCTCAACATACAAAGCAGTTTGTTGTGTCACTGCCTACGATTACGAAGGATATTGGTGGTATTGAGTCTCGTGCGGGCCCTATCAAACTGGCCAGCTCGGGGAGGCCACGAGTTGCCGCTTCTAAGGACTGTAGGAAGATCGTTTGTGCGTCGACACAAGATCACAGAAGGACATCTTCCGATATGATGGCCGAAATATCGACGACGGCGACGTCGCTACCATCTACGGACGCCATCAACAGACGCCTGTGGGATGCTGGATTATATGGAAGAGGACTTGCGAAAAAGTATCCGGATCCCTGAAAATTAGACGAGCTCGACTTCAATGGGCGCGTAAGCACCATCACTGGTCTCTCGGCCAATGACGCGAAGTCATCTAGAGCGACTAGTCAAAGATTGTTTCGCTTGGTACAGATGGGGTTTCAATCGTAAACGACCTTTAAATACAATTTTGGACCCCAAGTTCCAAGTGGCAGCTCTCATGCATGGTGTCGGTTCAGTAATGCTTTGGGGATATTTTCCGAGTCTAGGCATGGGGTCCCTGCACCATAATCTCACCTCTGTGGACCACCAGAAGTATGTAGTCATCTTGCAGAAATGCATGCTACCTTTTGTCCGTTCTGTACACTGCAGCAAACTTTTTTTTCCAGCAGGTTAACCACCCCAAACGGAGATCTAGAAGGGGGCGCAAGTGGCTGA